TCTGGAATGACGTTACGCCTAATATAGGAAGTAGGTACCTACCTTACCTACCTATTAAGTAATTTTTATGTTTTGAGGTTATAATTTTATTTTTTCTGGTATATTTTATGTTTTGTGTTGTATTTTCCAGATAAAAGTGATTTTTTTATCCAATAAAAATGCATATTATTAAAATAGACGAATTTTTTTGTCGATCCCCGATAAAATTAGTCATCTCATGATTTTTACTGAGAATCTCATGCTGTATTTTCTCATGAATAATTTTTTTTCGACCTTGCAACCCTGAGTGCATACTGAGTGTATTCGTGTCCTTTCTACTAGCATGTGAAAGAAAGTGACGGAAATACATGTTTTTTGCACTAATTTTACCAATGTTTTTCGCTGTTATAATAATTAATGGAATTTCTTGCACTCACCTCTCAAAACTGCGGCCCCCACTTAGAAATTTAATTTTCCGGGTGAAATAAACACAGAATTCGAACCACGACACTTTTCCGGACATTTTTATATAATTTTTCTAATTGAAAACTGGAAAATTCAACGAAAAAAAAGCGCGTAGCCATTTTGAAACAATAATTGAAACTACACGCATTTGTCACTAGATGGCGCTGCAATCGCAAACAACAAAAACCATTCAAAATCGAATAAAATAACTAATTAGGACTTAATTAAGGCCTAATTACACTAAAATTAATTATAATTAATCTAATTATAAGCCTTTATTATTGTTTTAATTAACCAAGTAGGCTTTGGAATGTCTTTTGACAATAGCATGGCAATTTTGACACTTGACAGTCGACCATTATAAGCGGAAAATGGCCAACGCGTTTTTATTTCGTCCGCCCGTTTTTCTCGAAATTTTCCAGTTTTCAATTGGAAAAAGTACTCTAAAGTGTTCGGAAAAGTGTCCTGGTTCGAATTATGTGTTTATTTTGTACAGGAACTTTGTGGTTTAGATGGGGGCTACAGTTCAAGGGATGAGTACCAAAAAACTTGAATTATTGTGTTTTTGTGTATAATTTATGGGGTTTTTATGTGATAAAATGGGGTTTGCAAAAGAAATTGGTATTTCTATCTTTTTTATACCAGACTTAGGGAAAGAGTTGGACATAGGTATGCAAACGCTATTAATCTATTATAGTAAGGTCGATAATACAAATACAGATCTCAGTAATGGTTTTAAGGTTTTTTCAAAGTGACATCGCTTCATATTTTGCCTCATAACTTCCTTAAGTCCATCTCTTTCCCTAAGTCCGGCAGAAAAAAAAATAGAAATACATAATATTTTTATGCCTGCTCGCCTTTTTTACCATATTAAAATATGAAAACACTATAAACTTTATACACAAAAGGCCTAGCCTTATAGTGAAATCCATTGGTAAGGTCAGTGCACACAAGGTTGCGAGGTCTCATGATTTTTCATGAGATCTCATGATTTGGACACATTTTTCATGATTCCATGATTTTCAATAAAAATCTCTTTCTATAATTTATAGGTTTGTTCGCACAGGAATTACAAATTCGCCACAGCGAATTTCATTGGTTGAAAACTTGTTCCAACCAATGAAATTCACTCTGACTGGTTCGTGATTTCTGTGTGAAGAGACCTAATATACATAAATCAGAACCGAGAAACAGGTTAAATGCGTTAACTTTATGACGGGCATTATTTAAAAAAAATGACAGAATAACTAAAAGTTAACTTCTAGAATGACGTTACGCCTAATATAGGAAGTAGTAGGTTCCTATTAGGTAATTTTTGTGTTTTGAGGTTTTTATTTTCGTTATATGATCGCAGTTTTTATTTTATTTTTGCTGTTAAGTATATTTTATGTTTTGTGTTGTATTTTTCAGATAAAAAAGATTTTTTTATCCAATAAAACCGCATATTATTAAAATAGACGTCGATTCCCGATAAAATTAGTCATATCATGATTTTTACTGAGAATCTCATGATTTTTGCTGTATTGTCTTATGAATAATTTTTTTTCGACCTGGCAACCCTGGTGTGCGTAGTGCGTAGCAATTAAATGAGGAAAAGTACTTTTTAACACGCATATTTTAGGACATGAAAGAACCAGGGGACTCAACATTACATAACTATTTCACTTTTTCGCACTAGTGCGAAAAGTGATATTTTCATGGCTTAAAATGCGTGCAGAAAAAAACATTTTTGGCACACTCCTAGAAAAAAAATTTCGCATCTGGCGGAGCCTGAGGTGAGCTTCCCCTTCCCCTTATAAACAATGTTACAAAGTCGTTATTCTGCACCCATGAGAATTCTCAAAAGTTGGCGCCTCTGCGTGGAATCTTGAATTTTCTAGGAACAGCACAAAAATGGCTGTACGGAACACTTGACGCCGAAAACGGTGATATGACTCAACCCAAACTAACCCTAACTAACCCAAAATGAGTCCTGTGTTCACAGCATCATTAATAGTGAACAACAAACATGCCCTATCTTGAAAATCGAATATGAAAAACCGACAGTTCAAAAACTACCTAACAATCAGTTATTGTTAATCCCAAAAGAAATTTGACAGCAGTTATAGAGTGAAATCAAAAGAAGTACATCGAGATAATTGCCAGTCCTACTCTAATCTCCAGGAGAAAATGTTTAGTGACTCTCAATAATCACACATTTTCCGAAGACATTAAAGAAAACTTCAATTTGGAACAATTGGAACACCAAGATACCCAAATACCCAAAATACATATTTGTATTTTTCCTGAAAACATTACGATGGTCAAACTAAAAACAGTAGACCATGAAAAGCTCAACAAGAAGCAACACAACTTGAAGTTCGACCCTTAAAAGAGTTAACCTTTGTAAATAACCATATATCCACATATGTAATCATAATTCAAGTGTAATTTTTATGATTATTATAACCATTTTATATATATTTTAACATAGATTAAGATAAAATGTAAAAACCGGCGATTCAAATTAACTAACTTGGTAGGTACATCAAACAAAGACAACCGAAGTGGAAACTAAATTAGCATGCAATAGAAAAAAATAAATAAAAATACTAGAGTTATGTACAAATTGTTTTATAAATAGAGCAGAATAATAAGAAGAAACCGGACAGTTGACAATGGACCAGACAAAAATTTCTAAAAGCTCTAGAAATGGAATAAAATCGTCTAATTTTGAGGTAGAAAAAAACCTAAATCAAGATTCTCTACTTTGAAGCTATCCTTTTTAATATTAATGAAACATGTTTATTTTCTCTGTGAGCAAATATCATTTTATTTTCCCATGCATAAAATGTATATTCTGTTTCATGTGAAAAAAGAGTATCAAATTAAAACTCCACTCCGCACTAATTTGAGATAAGCTCCATCTCCAGTTGCGTCTCATATACGATTTCCATTTTCTTGCCAGATAAAAATCTCTTAGACAAGTTGCAGAACAAATATTTGACTCAAAAGGCCTTGTTGCTTTTCTGCAAAATTGCAATTTATTTAAAAAAATAAACATACATACAACTAAATTATTAATGTTTTAGTCTGTGTTTTTTAACGTCCAAGTCCAAAAGAAATAAAAGTTTTGTCACAACCAGCACACACTGTTTAAAAATTAACAAAAATGAGATAAAGTTTTTCCATTTAGTTGCGGACCCTATTCAAGAAGAATAAATTATGTTTGCACGAAAAAAGAAAACACATTTTTAGTCCCTGCTGAGTAAAAATAATAGATCATTCATTACTCTCTTAAACTTTTTGATGAATTCGAACAAGAGAGGAGGGAAAAAAAAAAACGAGAAACAAAAGTTCATCGGATATAAACCGAAAACTAATCAAACATTAGAAAACAAATTTAAATTCGAATCAGGTAAATATTAGAATTGTTATTTTAGACTTCTAGAGAGCGGGTTTTTTTTTTTATTTGTTGAAAGCGAATGATTTATTTAACTAGGAAAAAAGGTGTCGAGCTGATTGCTTCGAGAGAAATTAACAAAGTTTAAAGTTGAATACAACTATGTAGGTATTGTGATGGAAAACTTAATGGAACGAGTCCTTGGAGACTGAGAAATAATAATTTAGGTATTTTAATTATTGGCGGGAGGTGGGAGGAAAATAATGTTTCATATCCTCATTCATTTCTGATCTCAATTTCTCTTCTGAAAAGAGGAAAAGTGCTGTTTTCTGCCCCTCATTCATCAGGGATCGAAAATATCATTTTCTGTGGGGCCAGTTGAGCAGGTTGAAAAAAATTATTTAAGGTTAGTTTTAAATCATCCATTTATGAAATTTTTCGTTTATCGAATACAAATAAATTAATTTAGTTTTGATTAAAATACAATATTATAGTTGCCCTGTAATGATATTCATAATTAATATTTCACCAAAATCCTGTCTCTCTATCCAATACTAATTACGATCATATTTTAAATGTTCGTTATCCCAGAGAGAGTTGAATTTTGGAATAAAATTCCTCATATTTTATGCAATCATATTACATGGAAATTGGATTTTTGAATTATGGAACTTACTTTTTTGGAAGTTCAATTTTCATCATTTATCTTCAAGAAACAACATGCTAACTTAATTTATGTAGTTTTGAACTGAATATTATGTTAAAAATCAAATTTCTAATCATAAAAGTAACAGTTTAAATTACCATATTCATTCACTTTGTGCAATTTGTATGAAACCTAGCTACCCTATTCGATTCTTACAGAGGTGTATTTTTGGTGGTATAACTTTGTAGACAGATACAATTTGGGTTAAGACAATTTGCACAATGTTCCAGTCAACATTTTTAGTTGAAACTTGATCAAAGTTTTACAAAAAAAGAAACTTCAGTCTTTGTAGGAAAATTAGAGGAAAAAAAAAAACAATCAATTTTCTAAAAATGTTCAAAAAAAATTGCAATTTTCAAAATCTCCTACCAACCTTATAGTAAAAAAAATAGACAATATTAATTACTGAAATTAAATGATGTTTCTATTATTATTAAAAATTAGAATAAATATAAATTGTTCACTTACATCTTTGGGTAAACCATGTGCAAAAGTAATAATGACAGCGAAAATCACTATTAACACTATAGTCGCTGACATTTTCCCCATTTTGTCCTGTTTAGTAAACCAGGTTTTGTCAGGAGTAGATAGTGTCAAAATGGATCGGGACCAAAATGTGTCTCCAAATCGGACGGTTTGTGACTTTTATAACAGGAGTCGTCCCTACCCCCCTTTCGAAGCCGACGCCTGATAACTCTACAGGTAAAACGTAATTTCTGGATTTTCTGTCGGGACGTTCGGACGGGAGCTTTTTCGTTTAGAGTTTAGAGCGAACGATGGGATTTTTCGAAAGAGCCGAGCGAATTTCCGCAAAATGCCCGGGGAGGATGCAGAAGAGTGTGTGGGATTCTAGAATTATTTTTTTTATGCACTCTTGACTTAATTAATTTGGATTTCCCAAAATTTCTTTCTATTGGGTTTTTGCGGGTTATTGTGATAGTTTTTGTAGGGTTTTTGTGTTTACTTAGCAAGACAAAGTTGTAGGTATATTTGTTTCAATAGTTTTGCTCGTGAGAAGCTTCAAAATTGAAAATTTTCCAAAAATGACAATGAGACAGTTTTTATTTCACAGCTACGGTATTTTTCCTCTGATTTCAGTGTAATTAGGCTCTAATTGAAGCTTATTAAATTCTTAATCTACGTCGGTGTCATTATGACACATTTAGCATTGTCATTTGAATGTCATTAGGTCCTTCATAATAGCACTAGTGCGTTTAAGAATTCATAATAACACCCAAATTTTGAAATGAAAAATATACAAAAAGAAAGTTAGTTGCCAGAAGAACCTTTTCAATAATACTGTCTCTATATTCGAAGAGACACTTTCGAACTCAGAATCACCAATAATAATATTATTTTCCACTATAAAATTGAATTTATGGCACAAAAATGGACTCCAATATTGAAGCTGCCAAAGTCAAAATTCTAAAAACCAACAAGCAGGTTCTCGACTAGTACAGGCACCTGCTAAATTTCAAATTTTAATTTGAAAAGTTTTTGCTATTTCAAGGCAAATCAAATCTATTTGGACCATTGTAGATTAAATTTTGAATGATACACGTTCGATATGAACTTTATTAATGAAACTTGTGTAACTAAACCACTCGGCTAACGCCTCGTGGTTTAACGTTACACGCGTTTCATTATGGCGTTCATATCGAACTTGTATCATTAATAACTATTACTAACTTATTAATTGAGATTTTAATTTGGTTTCAACAGTTTTGCATCTGAGAAGCTTCAAAATTCAATATATCGATCATTGTAAATTTTCCAAAAATAACACTGAGGCTGTTTTTGCCTCACAGCTCCGTTAATTTTCATTCGATCTCAATATAATTAAGCTCCAATTGAATTTTCTACAAACCTATCAACTGAGATTTTTATTTGGTTTCAACCATAGACGTTTCAACAGTTTTGCACCTGAGAAGCTTGAATATTCAATATATCGACAAGGTTGCCAGGTCTCACGATTTTTTATGAGATCTCATGATTTGGACACATTTTTCATGATTTTCAACAAAAATCTCATGATTTTTGGCGCAACACACATACTCCGGTAATTCTATTATTTTCATTAAAAAATTTGTGTTTGATATTTTAACATTATCACATTCAAGCGCTTGCGTAGAATGAATATTTTCTATAATTTATAAGTTTGTTCGCACAGAAATTACAAACCTGCCAGAGCGAATTTCAATGAAATTCACTCTGACTGGTTCGTGATTTCTGTGCTAACAGACCTGATATAAAATCAGAATCGAGAAACAGGTTAAATGCGTTAACTTTATGATGGGTATTATAAAAAAAATTGACAGAATAACTAAAAGTTAACTTCTGGAATGACGTTACGCCTAATATAGGAAGTAGGTACTTACCTATTAGGTAATTTTTGTGTTTTGAGGTTTTTATTTTATTCTTTCTGTTATATTTTATGTTTTGTGTTGTATTTTTCAGATAAAAGTGATTTTTTTAACCAATAAAAATGCATATTATTAAAACAGACGCATTTTTTTGTCGTTTCCCGATAAAATTAGTCATCTCATGACACCGGCGTATCCAGCCCATGCGTCTGGGGGGGGTAATCAGCCCATTTTTTCCCGGGTGCCACGCCCAAAAACGTTTACTTTGAGCCTTCAAAAAAAAATTTTTCTACTAGAGTGAGGACAATTAAACAGTGCGGCAAATCGATTTTCTCGTACGGTGCGGCGAATTTTTTTCCGAACGGATATCGGTGCGGAAAAATCTAAATCTTTTCCGCATGGCTGTCAAAAAAAAATCAATAAATGACTACAAATTATGTAGGTAGGTATATGCAAGGCAGTGTTGTCAATCTGAATTTGTGAAATTGCACGATATGCTGGTAAAATTACACGTTTTTACACGCTTTCATTTTTCACAATTACACGATTTTGACACACGATCTTGGTACCCAATCTGTAACATCAAGAAGCAAGTATTTTTTTTTTGTGATTTTGGGAAATGGGTTAAATCGTTAACTTAAAAAATGATCAAAATATAATACATATCATACAGACTTGTGCCGTATTCGGGTACAAGTACTCTTCACTTTTATTCTAAGTACATTTTGAGTTACTCGGTATTTAGGCCACGATACTTTGTGAATTATGTAATTGTACCTACTTGTACTTGAACTGTTTAAGAATATAAAAAATACCCGGTACATTTTATTGTACTGAGTAAATTGCAAAATACCCGAATACCTACATTCTTTTATACTCAAATACATATACCCGGGTATTTTCGTTTTTTTCGAAAACATTTGCAGTTACTGAGTAAAATTATTGGACTCTAAGTACATATTTATTTGGCCACAAGTACATTTCCAAACAAGTTGAGACCTGCTTCCACAGAATCACTTACCAGTCAAGAAAACTGGTTAATGGAGATTTGCACTGCACCAATCCTAAACGCTCTAATTGGTTTGTGATTTTTGTGAAAACTGTAACTTCAATTTTCTGGCATTTCTTGTGTATAGCGTACCTACAGATGAATGTGTTTTTCAATTTTCTGATGTGTGAACATTTATACCGGCGGTTTGAGTGTAAATTCTGGGAAATGGGACGGAAGTGAGAAAGGGGATGTGACTAATAACCCATGGGCAGTGATTAGTGCGCAGCTACATCAGCGCTTGCGGCCTCAGGTGGCATCAGACTTTCATGAGCTGTGCTTTCATGTCAATAATCAAGGGTGGTTCAAAAGAGGAGGTGCGTAACAACTCTAAGACGACATTGATATGCAGGTGGCATTGTGTGGAATGTATTCATGAATGTACTCGGTACTTTGAGCACTTGGATATTGAATACTGGTAATTGTACTCTGTACTCGAGTAAGTATATTCTGAGCGAAGTACATTTTACCTGTACTCGAAACAGCTCTAATATCATATAAGGACACTAAACAAAATTGAAATCAAAAGTAAGTTTAGCAAATAGGTAGTACCGAGAGTAGTACTGGAAGTACAAAGTAGGAAAGTAATCGGTACCTAAGAGGGGCGGCAAAAATACCTTTTGCACGGGGCGCCAGAATGTCTGGAGCCGGCCCTGGTTTCAACAGTTCTGCATTTCCTGATGAGAAGCTTCAAAATTCAATATATCGATCATTGAAATTTTTCGAAAAATGACACTGAGACAGTTTTTGCCTCACAGCTCCGTTAACATTCATCGGATTTCAATGTAATTGAGCTCTAATAAAGCCAATTAAATTCTCTACAAACCTGTCGTTAATGAAAAGTTTGATTTAGTTACAATAGGGAACAATCATATTTTTCAAAGTATTTTTTTTCTTATTGCTTATGTTTTCAAATATAAAATGTATATGTTTTTTTTTGTTTTATGTCCTGATTAAAATAAAAAGATTATTTTGAATTTCAAATTATTTTCGTTGGCGCGAAAACGATTAGCTTCAAGATGGTGGAATTTGTGACGTCAACTATCTGTAAACACAACTTTAAGGTCTGTTCTCACAAGAGCCTTTGACACTTTGCAAACTGTCGGAAAGATTGGAAAGAATCGCTTAGCTTGAACCTTCGACTGCATTGAAAATTGAAAGCGGTTATTCATGAGGTATTTCTGTATTTAGTGCCATATTGTGACATTTTGTGTTTCAAATAGTTCATCATGGTTGATATAGGACTTACAAAAGCGCAGTCTGACAATCTTTCCTCTATAGACCCCTTTATGGTGGTTCAATATCAGTCGTGGCGTGACGTGAGCTGATCGTGGACCAATCGTTCCACGATTCAAGAGTGAACCACGAAAGTGTGGACCCTGGATTTACGATCAGTGTAAACTACCCTTAACCTTAGTTTACGAACAGTTGACGTCACTGGAAGCGGCCATGTTAAACGTAACTTTTCCGCGCGAAACTTTTCAATTTAAAACTAATAATTGCCATAGGACTATATTATCCATAAATTTAATACAAAATTGCTTATATTCAATATTTTACACAAAAATGTGCACCATAAAAATAAAATAAGCCATATTTATTTCTTATGAAAATTCCCTATTATTTAGGTAGGTAGGTATCTACTAGTTTATTAGTACAAATTCTTTTTTAGTTACGTTACCTACTACTTTGTTATCTTGAGAAAAGTTCCTTCGGATTTTTTACTTTTGTATCTAAGATTTGTTTGATTATAATTAATACCTATTGTTCGTCGATTTTTAATTGATACTTGCGGTATGAGGAGCGAGAGGGTGTTTCATATGGCAAAAACAGGTGTGACGTCAGGTAACCATTGGCGTTTTAATGTAGGGAGCCACCAGCTTACATTCCGTCCGAGTATCAGATTAAAATCGACGAACAATATTCTATAATTTTCCTTGGCATTTTTATTTTGTTTAGAAAAATGTGAATAGTTATTTTTTTTGTATGCTAGTGTATTGTGGGAGTTATATCACGTCTATTTGCTGAGTCCTCATTTAAAATGCTTATTCTGCTTTTCAGCTTATTATAAATATATGTATTTTCTTAGGATAGTCAGTCAGTTGAAATTTATTATACTTATAACTTCTATTGTAACGTGCTTTCGCTAGTAATAATTTCGAATTGTAAATAAAGTCAATTTTTTGAAAACCAACCCTCGGTTGCTGACTTGTTAACTTGGGGTTGATTTGAAGTAGGTACCTGGATTAAA